AAGATTCATGAACACTGCAAAACGTGTCAAGTTTACAACCCGTATAGTCTCATTTCCAAAGTAACCTACGTTAGTCACCTTTCTACGAGGTTCACTCTAAACGTTTGGAAGGCGTACAGAACAGAGCTCTCAAAATAGTAAGTTACAGATCACACATGAGTCGCAAATTGTCGCATTACGAAGAGAGGTTATCACATTTTAAGGTTATGTCCTTGAATTCTAGACGTAGGGTACAGGATCACTTTACGGCAGCCTTAAATCCTCAACGCTTCTGTCCCATATTAATTTTAACATCAAGTGCAATACACGACGCCTTCGTAGACCATTCGTATTGAATGTTTATACTAATAATACTTCTTTTTACAACCCTTTGACGAGAATGTGTCGGTCCTACAACGACCTAATCCTGGCGGTGATTTAGGGATGGATATATTTGATGGTAATGTTAAAAGACTTCGCCATCGAATCCACAACCACCACGGTTTGTCTCTTTCATAGTTATAGTCATAGTAATTCTATTTTATTTAAGGTTACAGTTTTATTTATGCCTAAGTATTCATTTATATTTCAAACAAAATTGTTTACTCATGACTGGTCATGTTGTAAAATTAGTAGCGGTAGTAACTTCTTAAGTGTTAATGGATCTCGTTGTAAAAAAGTTATTTTTTATGATACGAAGTGACAGGACGTATAATTGCAGTGCCATTCTGAGCTTTAAATCGCAAAGATCTGAGGTGCACTCCTAATGCGCTCGTCACACATGGGCCCAAATTGATAATTCTTGGACATGGGAATAACTTGTTTTTTTTTACTCCGAAACTATCAACTTTTCAAGAAATTATACAAGAATAAAAGTTGTAAGGAATGTTATTATCTATCATATAAAAAAAAAAGTAGCTGGATACTCCACAAGTTATTCCTATGTCCAAGAATTTTAAATTTGGGCCCACTGTGCACATAAGTTGACAAGTCCCATGTGCCTGTAATTTCACCAGCACCCTTACCCTTCAAAACCGGAACACAGTAATGCTGACATTACTGCTTGCCGGCAGAAATAGGTAAGGTGGCAGTACTACCCTGGACGAACTCTTTCAACCCTTCAAAACCGGAACACAGTTAATTAAGAATTAACTGCCTCCGTGGCCGAACGGTTACCACGCCGGACTGCCACGCAGAGGCCCCAGGTTCGATTCCCGGGCCGGGAGAAATATTTGTATGGCCTACATTTATTTCTCTCGTGAGTTTGGGTGTAATTTGTGGTTGTCTATGTGTGTGTCCATGGCACCCGCGACACAGGGTTTCCCTAGTGCGAGGCTATGCTGAGTGTGTGCGTTATTATTATTATTATTATTATTATCACAGTAATGCTAACATTACTGCTTGGCAGCAGAAATAGACAATGAGACGAGCTCTTTCACAAGGACACGTACTGCTGTTAAAGTTTGTCCAGGGAAGTACTGCCACCCTACCTATTTCTATCGCCAAGCAGTAATGAAAGTATTACTGCATTCGGGTTTTAAGAGGTAAAGGTCCTATAGACACATGTGACGGTCACGGGCGCAGTGACAGGGCTCCAAACAGATGAGCTGGCAGTACTTCCCTAGACGATTTCTTTCTCAAGGAGCTCTATTCTTTCTATTCTAGTTAATACAATAGTGTATTAACTCAAAAAGTGTATTCTCTCAGATTCAAACGAATTACTAGTTTCCCGTGAAAGATAATGAAAATGTATGTATACATTATAGTTTAATGCAAACAGTTTCCTACTTGCCAAATGTATTTAAAAATGAAAGAGAAAAAATAATTTTGTATTTTTGAATAAGGACTATTTTGGCCAGAACTAACTCACGTAAAGCGTGTCTCATCTCACAATATTCTATAGACAGTTTTATTGACGTATAGAGAATCGAATTTTACGTTCAATAATTGTATAATCTTGAATTTCACATAATTATTTTGAGTTATAACACTATTTTAATAGCAGTGCGATATGCTATTTTATAAATCAGTCAGTGTTAAAGAAAAAGCGAAACATAGGAGACTAGTTTAAGGTCATATTAATTGAACATGTCAGGAAGCGTAAGCGAGTAAAGTGAGTGCTAATGCTGCTCGTTTAAGAGGGAGCAGAGGAAAAATTCCTAATCTTCGATTTGATTTTAGACGGGTATATCCACTTTAAAGTTAAAAATAAAATATTGTATGAGTAACTACACGATATATTCAAGCATAGACATTAATCAGAAACATAAAACGATAAAGTTTCCTCGATAGATAAAAATCACGAAATGACCTCTAATTTTCACATTTTTTCGATTCATCCTCGAAATGCTACAGGTTATTAGTACAAAAATTAGATAAGTAATTATATTTATGCATGATCGAGAACTGTCACTACGGATTTTTTTTAATCCCTTTAGTTTTAGAGTTATTCCGCTAAAACAAATTTGGTACTTTTAATGCGCAAAATTCAACATCTTCTGTCGCATGTCACGCGAACTTCAGGCATATATTTGTCTCACAAATTTGGGCGGAGCCAACGTCAAAACTTTTTTGGCAAGTTCCTTCTTAATGTGTGCATGCAGTTTGGATGTGTTCTTTACGCTCCTGGAAAGCGTTGCTGGGATAGTACTACAGTGTACATTTTTCGTAATGCCTTTTGCGTTCTGGTGACAACGCGTCACAATTTCATTGTCATCATTTCTCTTCTCACTAACCACCAGTGGCGAGGCGTTCATGTAACTCGTTTCCCACCAGCTTGCTTAAATATTACCACGTATATTCAACAGAGCTAGTTTAGTTCAATAAAAATCTGTCCTTGAGAATACGGAGTCTTTTAGCTTAACTAAACAAAATTTGGTTATTATAGTTTTTTTGAGGAATTTGCTACATTTTGCACTCAATTTTATACGTAAAATAACTAGTGAATGAAGTGTAGGTACTATGTTATCTTGTCTACTAAAGAGTAGAGTGCGTAATACAGGAGGAAAAGAGAGCCCCCTGGCGTATATTTTTGAAACCCCTAATTGATAGTCAACGACATCTAGAATTTACTACCTGTACTAATGAAAGTATGTATATAATTATATAAGTATATCTATATACAATACTATACGTACTTATATAGGTAGTTACCTACATGCGTATAGGCATTGCGCTTGTTCTTCAATTTTGTACGACAGAGTTGACATGAAATTCTTAAATAAAAATAGTACAAATGAAACATAAAAATAAGAATAACAAAAAGAATGTTAAATGGATTGCCTAAAAATAATCTGCCATAGAATATAAAGAGCTATTTAAATAATTAAAACACGTTTTAATATTTATTTTTTATTTGGCACTAAAAAACTAAAAAACTAAAGAAATATACAAGCGTCACTGTCTCACTGCGTCCAATGTTACATATAAAAACACAAGAAAAACTTGTAAACTAGTTTTCTTTTTCAATGCGTCCATAAGCGCGTACACACACAGTCTATTCAAGAGAATTAGCGGAGGAAAATCGTCTCGACGCTTAAAACACTAAATGCAAAAGATAACAAGTTATTTTCAACATAAAATGAAATTAAACTTAACAACAGAAAACAAAACAGCGTTCAAACACTAAGGGCGCGTTCCCACTATGTCGTGACGACAGATTGTTTGCACGTGCAGTTTACAGTGTCGTGGCTTGTATATTTAAATGAAGTTGTTCACACATAGCACGACACGATTAACTGTCATTCACGATTTTTTATCGTTACCGTTGTAACGTCACGATAAAACGTGACGACAGATTGTCGCAGCTCCTATTGTCGTCACGTTTTATTTATCGCTGTCCGCATGTATTCTGCTCCCTGCCCTCCCCTCTCGTACCCCGCGCCCTCTGCTCGCTTTGCAGCAACGTTGGCTACGCCAGAGATGGACAAGGAGGCTGTCGTGAAACGATAAATTGTCGTCACGATCTAGTGAGAACAGCTAGTCACGGCAGTCGTTCAACGATAATAAAACGTGACAACATCGTGGGAACACTGTTTGTCTATTTTTTTTTTAATTTTCACCCATTTGGGTACGGCAACGTCCGAGATTTTGACAGCTATAACGAACCATAGATAAATAGATTTTTTTTAATGGGCCAATGACGAGATCACTTTGTATGGTTTTACAAGCTAAATTTATAGAATGTATGCAAGTACCTACTACAATACTTATATTAGTACCCCCAGGCACTAATGTAAGTATTGCATTTGTTGGCAAGGCGAAAGTAGTTTTTTTTTGTGTTGTATTAATGTTGCAAATTTATTGCTCTAATTTTAATAATGACAACTTTCACTTCACTTCACTTTAGTCACTGCTTACCACCGTATCTGACATTTTTACCGCAACTCATTAGGAGAGGTTCATTTTGCTTGGGTCGAGGGACATGGACACTGGCGTTATTGCAGAATTAATTTTTTTGCCAATGAAATTAGAGCCATTCGAAAAATGTATATAGTGTACTGTATGACATCTTTATAGTATTTCACTTCCTCTTCCATTTCCGTTGATTTACTTCTGACATCTGTTTTCGTTGTGACGCTTTCGTTGCATTACTCAAAGTCAAATAATCATTTATTCCATAGGTAAAATAAATTTACACTTGAAAACGTCACATTAAAGCTCCTGCTCGTTCACTACGCTGACCTCCCTGAGAAGATCGAGCAAGAAACTAGTGATTGGTCTTTACAAATTAACTTAAAAGCTATGGAAATTCTGTTTGAATATATAGTAATTTATTGCTTTGAATATATTATACTACTGCAGATAAGGCAGTTGGTGCGGAAGAGAAATGTTTTGTCAATTTGGTAGCATTCCACTCAAGCCACTGCAAAACCTACAGTCATTAAATAGTCATTGACAAAGAACATTAAACGCACAAGTACGTTCTACCACACAAAAACAAAATCACGCAAATTATCTTTTAGGGTACTATGTCGTAGTTTTTATACTTGAAGGTTCTAATAGCAAAATTATTGTTATAGAGACTACAATGACGAAAAACGAGAAAATACAGATCAGCCATTTGAGTGGAAGCGTCGTCTCCGTCGACGGAGATGGGTAAGTGGACTTATGCATTTCATTACCAATGTTCCGTATTTTTATTGTTACCTATCCACAACACAGCAAACAATAAATCCAAAACAAAGTAAGTAAATACACCTCGTGGCACACAGAAACAAACTAGTGAACTAAACAAAGACAACGAAAATGACTAGTTATAAAAAACGAGGAAAAACATTGTGGTTGTTATAATATTAAGTATTGCAAAAACCTACCGTGTTTTTATTTATGCCTACAAAAACATAAAATAGCGCGAATAGCATAGCGACAGACTTCAAATTATAAAGCTATAAACGTGTCTATGTGTAAGGGTGTAATCACATCTCAAGCAAGGCTTGCATCATGGCGCGCGACCAGCACGGGAAATGCACGTGTGTAGCTCGCGAGCCATTCGCAAACAGGCGCTATCTTGGGGCATTGCCAGATTTGTACGCACCCTCAGGGTGACGGGCGCAGTGGCAGTGCCTCTCAGATCCTTGCGTTTTAAATCCTTGGTGTGGCACTGCAACTGTTTTGGGCAGGCGTGTCGTTTACCACCAGGCGCATGACTCGTTCGTCTCGTTACTTGGTGTCATAAGAAAAAATGATTTAGAAATAGATATGTTTCATAAAAAGTTTAATTAGATTTTTTTTTCATTCAACCCTCTATTAAACGTTTAACAGTCTTTTCTGCACACTCACTCAGACGTACCTACGTCACACACATACACATATATCACAGTCACACGCATGCACGCACACTCACACACACACACACACACACACACACACACACACACACACACACAC